CCCTTGCTGCTTTTGTTTGGATCTGTCTACATATAGCCCCTTTGAGCAGTTTTTGGGTGTTTTCTCCTGCTGGTAGTATCATTGATAGCCAACAAACCTTTGATGAGAAAACAGATGAAATTCAGACTTCTCTGTAGTTTCAGACGAGGCAGATCTGTCTCTGGCCTGCTTCTCCTTGGCAGGAAACTTCTGACACAGTGGAGGTGGATTAGCAAATCTGCACTGCTGTCTTCTCATCGGGTTTCAGAGTTGGAAGCCAAAATGGAAAACAGAATGCCTGGAACATTCTGTGGCTCTTGCCACGAACCTTCCCCCTTCCTCCATCTGTGGAACTGATGCTTCTTTTCCAAGCATGGCTTTTTCCCTCTGGCCAACTTTTCTTCTCCACGAAGCCTGCACTGACCTCAGCCAGATGGGACCAACCCTCTACATCCACAGTGGCCTGTTAGAAGCTCACTGCCCCTGTGTCGCGGCCCTAGTAAATCCTGGAACATGGAGTGTGATACAGTCAGTTGTTCATGTGTTTCCCCATGCCAGGCTGTGAGGGTCCTGATGTCTCGGATCATCTTTACAGTCACAGCTTCGTGAACATGTAATGATAGTGTGCTCTTGGGCAACGTGGACTTGGCTAGCTCAAAGTATGTACAGCTCTTTGTTCTAAGAAAAAGTGTATGAGGTTACAGAAATATTTAACATATTGCTTATGAAAGACTTATACATTGAAGCAGAAGTAGGCAAAACATTGAAATACAAAGAAACAAAAAATCCCACCAACTTCGGAATCAGGCATGCATGGATTGGAGCGCTGGTGTTTCTTCTTACAGCATATAGCTTTGGAATGGTTCTTCCTTTTATTATTTTAATTAATTTATTCTACATTCATTTACCATATATCATTGCAGCATATAAAATGAATTTTCCCATCCAGAATATACTTTTATTGGCTCAAAGATATTACCCATACATATTATCTTCAACAGATAAATTTCCATTTTGTGTTTCTCACTTATTTTACTTCTTTTTTATCTCTCCTTCTTCTTTAGTCCCTCCCTCTCACCCTCCACCATTAGGTTAGGAAGTAGAATGGTTCTTAAATTCCCTAAGCCTGGATTTTTCAGTCTACAAAGTGGAGTGATAGACCCTCATGATACTCGCGTGTGTTCAGTGGACTAACCTGGGTGAAGTGATAAGCTAGCAAGTGGTACTTAGAAGGTATTTGGAAACTGGTCATTAGATAATGGGTAAATTTATTAGTGTCTGCTGAAGGACTGCTTATTTATTTTTACACATATTTCTTTATTTCCCTATTATTTTGTGCTCATTTCAAGACATCTTTCTGCTATTAGATTGAAAAGCATTGCTTGTGAGTCATGGCCCACTTTATATCTGGAAGAAGACTGGATTGTTTTGATAGATGCAAGGCCAGGCGCTCGGATCCTCGTGTCTCTTTATATGGTAAACAAATTGATGTGTCTAGAACATAATCATCTCACCAATTGTGCAGTGAGATGCACTCCGATGGCATGGAGTGCTCGCTCTTGGGCGGCTTCAGCCAGACGTGACTCACTACCTGTTGCCAGAGCAAGCTCTTGAACGATGATGTTTGGAGATTTCCCCAGGGTGTATGTTTCGCACCAGTTTTAATTGTTGTATTTTGCTTCCTAGGGCGAATAGTGCTTTATCATTATATACTGCTCTGCACAATATCGTGAGAGTGTTCTGCGTGGTATATCGGTTTAAGACATTCCAGTATCCTCTAGAGACCTAATTTAGACAAACTTAATTGTAGAAAATAAAATAATGGTCTTGCCGCTAAGGTTTTCATGCCTATGACTGTAAGAAATATATTACACAGAGAGAAAAACAAGAGATAACAACCACCACTGCTTACTTAACTGGTGCTGTCTACCAGGAATGGTGCCAGGAACTTTTATATACTTTTTTAAATCTCCCTTCACAACAAAAGCCCAGCACAATTGGTAGCCCTGTTTTACCACTGAAGGATGGTGGCCCAGTGACTGCTGAGCTTGTCCATGTCCTCTCATTAGAAGGACGAGCTTTGCTTGAAGTCTGTCTGGCTCCAAAAGCTACAGTCCTTCCCTCCTCCTGTCTCACCCACCATAAACAGGACATTCCTCTCCTGCCAGCTGTAAACTGGCCATTGTTGCAACACTTGGCTGCTCCCCTGAGCCCCAGTGGTATCGGTATCGCCCCATCAGACCAGCTGATGCCGCCCAGAACTGGCTGCAGCCCTGAGGGAGGCTTGATATGAATCCTTCCCCACCTCATTGTCTGCCCCTTCCTGTTTTGTCCCTCGCTTATTCCAGGGATGGCCACACATTGGTTTTAATGAGTCAGTCTAGAACTCTGCCATCTTGTACCTCAGACAGAACGCTGAGACCCACCACTCTGAGAGCTCTTAAGAAGCACTGAGTTGGCAAAAGTAGATGTGTCTGTGAATCCTCTCAGTTAGAGCCCTGCCATCACCAGAGTCCGGCATATTAGAAGATGCAGGCTTAAACTCCGGGCCTCAGCAGCTCTCCACCAACAGTGGAATTTGCACTAACATCCTAGTGCTTGAGGAATGCTTTGAGAAATGGCTTCTTCTGAGGATTGCTTTGATTTCTTAAAGAAATTGCTATCTAGAGATTTTAATGAATGGAATACTCTGGATTGCCGGAAAGGGAATTGCCCATGTAGACCTAATTATTCTCTGTATTGAGCATATACCCTTTTCCATGTATTCTGCTAAGCCTTCTCCCTTCAGAAAATTCTTCCATCCACACTGTAAGGTGGGTTGAGTCACCCCAAATTTCATATGAGAAAAATGAAGCTGGTACAGAGAGAGTAATGGACTTTTTCTCCACCTAGAAGTCATAGGAACTGTAGATGGACTTCATTGATGCCCATTTATTAATTATAATCACGCATTCTCCCAATTAAATGGATTATACATTGGGGAGAAGTGGTGACTTAACGAATATAGCTTATAGGTTTTTCTTGATGAGTCGTTGCTGTAAAATTTCACTAGTGTTATTATAATATTATAATAGTCTTGCTATTATGAACTTCAACTATACTGAGATTGATTAAAGATGGAGTTTGTTAGGCCATCAGGTGGCATGGTGGTTAAGGACCTGGATTCCCATATGGTCAACTATGGCGGAAGTCCCAAACATGGAGGCTTGAAATTCACACTGGCTGAGTGTGCATGAGTGCCCAAAATCCCAGAAGAAGAATGGAGGAGAAGGGATTGTGGCATAACCATTCCCCCAACAGGGTGGTTTCTTACTTTCTCTTTCTCTCTCTCTTCAGTGAGCATATCCACCCTATAGCAAAAACCTAAAAAACAAAACCAAACAAAAACAAAAACAAACAAACAAACAAAAACATTGGAGTTTGGTATGCTTGGTGGTAATTGCATTGTTTTCCCTTTATGCAATGGTCCCAGTCTCCTCTGCTATCCGAGTCCTTGTGTAAGCTCTTCCAAGTTTCTGTCTCTGGTCTCTCTTGGTAGTGAGCCCACATGAGTGAAGGCCGAGTCTTTTCTTCCTATTGTTGTTTATAATGTGCTTTTCAGGGAAAAATTGGAATTTCAGTTACAAAGACCAGTAGACTTTGTAAAGCAAGATTAATTTGGTATTGAGAAAGACTACTTACTCTTTTTATTTTTTTTAATATTTAATATTTAATATTTTGCCATAAGGTATTTCCTCTCTTACCAGAGAGGAAAGAGACAGAAAGAGATAGTGAGAGGGAAAGTGAGATATCATCCCCTGGGCTATCTCTTTCTCTCTCTGGTCAGATTAAAAAATAACAATAATAAAAAAAAATAATTCTTTTAAAAAGTAAAAAAGAAATTATCCCTTAGGGTTATGGCCACACCACAATTTCTTCTGTGATTTTGGGCACCCATGCACATGCACACGGTGTGATTTTCAAGCCACTGGGTCCAGGACTCCAACTACGGCTGGCCATGTGGGAGTCCAGCGTCTTAACCACCAAATCACCTGCTGGCCCAGACTACATACTCATTGATGTTTCAATTGTTCCTTATGTCTCCCATTAGATCTTTTCTGACTTGAGATTTTGTATGTTTTTCCCGAGGAGATCACTTTGGTAGTAAGTAGTTGGCGGGAAGTGAGATTGCAGAGATGAAGGATGCCTAATGTACCTGGGTTCTCAATCCAGACACTTTAACTGCCCAAGCTTGAGTTCGAATTTAGGTTCTGCCCTTACTTATCAGAGTAAACTGGTGAGTTTCTTCATTGGCAACTTAGATTTCATATCTGAAAGATAAAACAGCCAAATCTTTCTTGTTAGAATGTTCTAAGGGGCCAGCATATGGCCTGGTGGTTAAGGGGACTGGATCCCACATGGCCGACTGTGTGATTCAAGTCCCAGACCTGGTGGTTTGAGAAACCTGCCAGTGTGTATGCATGTATGCCCAAAGGAGCATGTTCGAAAAGGAAGGAAAGCTGGAAGAGAAGGGATTGCAGTGTGACCATTCCCCACAGGGGGAATGATACTTTTCCATTTTTCTGCTCTCTCTTTTCTCCCTGGCAAGTTCTCATGCCCTCTGGCAAAACCAATAAAAAAGAAAAAGGAATGTCCTAGGGATTCTGTGACACGATGGAAGACGAGTATTTAGTGCAGCACTGGCAGCTTACGTGAACCGTAGAACTGTCACTTCTCAACCTCCTGCCCGCCCTTCTTCTTGCTCTTAGTTTTTGGCTTTTGTTCTTGCTGAGGCTGTGCACAAAGACTGAACCCCAGCTGTAGTTCGTGAACTAGCATATGTCCCCTGGTACAAAATAGGCACCCCACAAATACCCTAGGGCTAAAGCTCCGAACCTCTCATTTGGTGGTTGTTCTGGGCTCCCCAGTGAAAACATGGAACTGTCATGGACAGCGTGACGGCCAGGTTTTCCAATGTGTCATGTTTCTGTGGCATTAAGGAAGCAAAGATGTTTATGGACTTTTCTCTATTTTTCTTTCAGTGCCTGAAACAGTATGTTGAGCTCTTGATCAAAGAAGGATTAGAAACTGCAATTAGCTGCCCAGATGCTGCCTGCCCTAAACAGGGTCACCTACAGGAGAATGAGGCACGTCAAGGGAAGGCACCGGGGCTGTCCGGAGTGCTGGTCTACCTGCCCAGCTTTGCAGGGTGGGGTGCACCTGCTGACATTTACATCGCCTGTACTCCAGCCCTCAGCTTGTCACTCCCTTGTTTGTATTTCTTCCCTTAGATCGAGTGCATGGTTGCGGCTGAAATTATGCAAAGATATAAAAAGCTACAATTCGAAAGAGGTAGGTGCTGTTTACGATTCTCATAACAGAATGTGAATAAATTTGGGGGGAATTTTTTGGTATATATAATTGTATGTCATTTGGTAGGAGTGAGAAAGCAGAAGTGATACAAGTTGGCTTTTGAAATTCAGCTAATATTTTAAGTTCTCTGAACAGCTCATAGTTTGCAGTCGTTGGCAGGCAGTCTATTCAGTAGTAGGAAAAATGGATAAAACACAGTTCGCTTATAGTATTGGAGTTTCTGGGGGCATTTAAAGAGATCTGTCATGGGACCCGATTCTTCAGCTAGATTAAGTATTAAAGTTTCGAGGACTAAACTCTAAGACCAGACCCACCCTGAATTTGGAAGATACAAAGAGGGGCCAGCCATCTAGGGGTTAAAGCAGGTAGATCTCCTATAGTTAACCATACTTTTCAAATCCCAGATTCAGCGACTTGATTCTGGGCACATGTGTATACATGCCTGAAATCTCGGGAGGAGGGAAAAATGGAGAACACGAGATGGTGGCATGGCTCTCCCCATCGGGGGTGCTTTCTTACATTTCTTCTCTCTCTCTTTCTGTCTTCAATAAGCACTCACACCCTTTGGCAAATAGAAAAAAAAAATTAAAAATAGAAAACACCCAGGCATGGAAGAAAGCCCCAGGAGTTAGCTTAGTGATAAATGCAAAGACCTGCATCCCTCTAGCAGTTAGGGTAGGACTTGTGCCCAGCGCACCAGCTGGTACAGCCTCTCAGGCGGGGGCTGCTCTCCTAGTCAAGGCTATACTTCAGGAGGGAGCACAGCAGCCTTGCAAGGCCAGCGTGTTGTCATCTGTTGAAAACTGATTCCCAGAAGGGCTAACTGGCTCACCCTGAGTTCTAATTCCAGTGGGTGATTGGGGGGCCCGATCCCCCAACCCTAGTCCTTGACTCCTCTTGCCATGCCTGATGCAGACCCAGGGATCCTTGGGGAGGCCAGGGTGGAGTGAACCAGGCGGCCAGTGTGTGTAAGGCAGCGTTAATATTATTCTCAGGATCACTTCAATGTTTCAAAACATGCTGAATATCCAGGTGAACTTTCTATCTTTGCTTGCCAAACTACGCCTGACATAAAATGTCACTTTAAGGACTCAGCGGGCTGAGCTTGGCCTCGTTTCATATATACACTAGGCCTTGATCTCCTGCCCAGGAGCAGAGCAGCGGACACATGCAGGTGACAGCCCTTCTCAGCATGTCATTGTAAGGACGCTGCGTGTGGATTCTGACACTGTCAGCTTCTTTCGGATCGCTGAGGTCTACTGTGCCACTTCTTAGGTCTTCCAGTTCTTGCCCGCATCAGGGATTCTCTGCTGAGCTGAGGCCCTGGATGACAGGTTACAGGAAGCACCGTCAAGACGGGAGTGGAGGCAGGAGACGGGGCAGAGACTCCAGGTTTAGATGAATGTGTAGTTTGCTGGTGCCCCTCCCACCACCAAGGAAATACTACTAACAGCTGTATTTTCTCAAGACTTACCTTTGAAGAGAAAAGAAAATGTGCAGCCAAAATGATTTTTATGGCATTGAAATTTGTTTTCAAGAGTTTATATATTTAAATAGCATGTATCGTTTGCTTTGAGTCAGTTTATGGCTTAAATGTGATGCCACGTGGTACGGAAGTCGGTATGTGGTGCTATAAAATTGATTAATTTGCATTTCTGAGACTTTCAGACTCTTCTGAAAATATTTTCCAGAGAGATTCTTGGGAGAAACTGGCAGTTGTTTGGATTACAAGATATGAACTTTCTATGACATTGAATTTAATTTAAAAATGCAGCTGGGTACATTTTCCTCTTTATTTAACTCTTGTTATTTATTTAGGATTATGGTGTATTTTTTTTCTCTTTTGAATAAAAATGAAGCTAGTTAGACGTAGATTAAAAATATTTCTCAAAACTATCACTTTAAAACATTTCACTAACATTAAATTCAACGTTGCTTTAAAAAACGGATCAGACTTAATATGATCACAGATCTATCTAGTGGGATGTTAGAAATAAAAGAGAGCCGTGGGTTCCAGCTGACCTTGAACAAGCCGCAGATGTGACTGGAAAACAGAGTGCCACTTGCTTCACGGTTTAGTCGGCGAGGATGCCCTAGAAGACAGCTCAGGCAGCTCGGTGATTTTCGGAAAACAGTTACTACCTTAACCGTGAAAACAGTTAGCAAGTCCTATGCTTAGTTTAAATCGCACGCTGCCTCCATTTAGTCTCGGAATGTCTCATCTTCCGTAACAGCCTTGATTTTAATTCAGACTTCTCCAGCAGGGCCTTTGGCAAGCAGGAAGCCAGGAGAAGAAAGGGAGCTGCATTTCTTTCTGCACAGCTCCTCCTCAACTGGCTGACTCCAGAGTCCGGGCTGGGGGCGTCCCTCTCTGTGTGCCCCTTCAGTATGGCTGAGTCTGAGCACAGACAGGCTGGGCAGCAGGCTCACACGTCACGTCCCTCTGTCTGGAAGCTCACGTGGCCCAGAGACAGGGACCGTGCATCTTCCGTTCTTCATTGACTGCAGCAGAGCCAAATCACTTGGTCTTATTTACGGATTTATTTTATTTTATTTTATTTTTACATTTAATCACTGTACATTTTTACAGTGTAGAACATGGGCTAGTTGGTCTTTTTTTAAAAAAAGTAGAGCTCAGAGAGATTAAATAATAGCCAGGCTTGTCCACCGGGACTCAGGCCTGAGGGAGCTAGGACTCTTGAAAACCAGAGGGCCAAGCCCGCCTTCCCAGTCTCAAAGCAGAGTCCCAGCCAGGTCAGCAGAGCAGTAAGAGCCCGTGTACGGGGCCATGCCAGGGCCTTGTCCATCACGACGAGCTCCGGAATGAAAACGCCTTGCAGTTTATAAGTGGAGAGCTGTTTGGGACCTGCTTCCTGAGTCTAGTACAAAAATGTCGGAGATTGACGTTCGGATTAGATTCTTCTAGGATCCCAGGGAATAAATGGTTTGGCTTGCCACGTTACTGCATGAGGGACTTTGAAAAGTTTGTGGGAAATGGAATTCAAGCACAGGTTTACTTCGGTGCAAACATTTTTGAAATCCATGCATACCCATATTTCATGGAAAATGCATATTTCCATAAATAGTAAATTTTCATGGGGTTTTGTATAAGATATAACATATAGTGTGTGTAAATCTTACAAGTGCGTGGAATCGAGAGTGCATGTGTGCACGTGGGCCTTTGCGTGGCCCAGGTGGACTTCCTCACCGCCTGGTCCCGTCTGTGTGCAGCTGGCAGACCCTAGCTGTGGGGCGGGTGATGGAGGAGATGAGTACAAGTCAGAGCAGCTTCCCAGGCCACGCTGCAGGCTCTGCTGTGCCCTGGCAGCTCCGGAAGGAGGCTGGTCATAGGCATTCTGAATGGGTTACATGCCCTTTACATTTTGGTAGGAAGCGCTCTCCACTTGGGGACAGACCGTGCCGTCATAGCTTCCGGAGGATGGAAGTTACAGAATTTACGTCGCTCCCATCGCAGCCTCACCTAGGTTGCCCCCTCCACTCCTTGGCATCATGGGCCTTGTATGAGGAGGGCACACGGCAGCCACCCCGCTGTGGTGCAGGAGAGTGGCTGGGAAGTGGCACATCTCAGTGCCATGCAGGCAGAGACCTGGGTGGCTGCCCTTCAGGCAGGCTGCCCTTTCTGATGTCAGGGACTCCTGGGAGTCAGAGCACTGAGCAGTGGGAAGCGGAAGGGTCCACCTGGCAGGAGAACCAGGCACCAGTCGAGGACTGCTCTTCCTGCCTGCGTATTAGTGTAGTGAGCCCTGCACCCTGCAGAACCATCTCCATGCCACGTGCAGGGAGGGCCTCATGCCACAGCACACAGGGACAGAGGGCACAGCTGTGCGGATAGACTCATAGACAGGTGTGAGTCCGAGGGGAGGAGGGACTGCGTGGCAACTGGGGAGCTTCCGATTCCTGCTAGGATGGCGCCCTCTGCTGTGTGCCTGTCCCAGGCCTCAGGGAAGCGTTCCACTCACCTGGCTGCCAGGCACCACTCTCCCCAGGTCCTGTCATGTCCCATAGCCCAGGCAAGCCACAGGCATCTGCCCTCACATCTGTGCCCCACAGGCAACACTCGTGCTTTTCCCGCAAAGCCACCTCATCAGACCTGAAGGTCAGGAACACACTAAGAAACTCAATGCCAAAACCACTGGCAGCCAGGGACCAGCAGGTAGCGTAATGGCCATGTCGCTGGACTCCCATGTAGTTGACCATGGTTCGCGTCCCGGAGCCAGTGGCTTTAAACTCATGCCGGGCGCGTGTGCATGTGTGCCCAAGATCCCGAGAAGAGAATGGAGGAAAAGAGATTGTGGCATGGCCATCCCCCC